TGCTGGTTCTCTTCCAGGTTGAATGACACGCAGCATCACTCAGCTCACTCCCCTGAGAGCTCAGGGCGTCAGGGATCCGCCCCCTTGTGGTGCATCATCAACCTGCCCTGTGCTCAGAAGTCAATGCTGCAGAGAATGGTGCCACAGATGTGAATGCACTGTGCGGTGCTGCACTGCATTGTACGAAATAGTACAGGTGTGTTCTTTTGTTCATTTAGGGATCTTAAAAAAATAAATGGGCTGCCTTAATGCACTGCTACAAAAATGTATGCGTTCACATGCGTGTGTTAATGCAACATATATGTGTGTATGGGTCGGATCTCCTCAAGATGGATACCACTCACTCACCTGAGCCAACATTTACTGCACATTCACCACATTGCAAAAAAAACCCCCAAAACTTTAGGGCTGTTCACACCTAAGCGTAGTGCAATCAAAGCACGCTGTCGCATACTGCAATGGACGGCAGCGGGGAGGTGCATCTGAATGGCAGTGCAACACACCTAGCGCAGGTAATGCACACTAGGAGCTTTGCATTGCTATTCAAATGACACCCCAATGCACCTCCTGGCTGCCGTGGGAAGTGGTAAAGTCTTACCGTGCATTGTGTTGTGGTGCAGTGGAAAAGAATAGCACATGCACTACTTATTCCCACCGCAACAGAATGCATGGTAATGGGGTACCGCTCGTTGTGCTGTGTTACAGCATATGGCGTATAGGAGGTACATTGGGGTGCCATTCAAATAAATGGCGACACAACACACCTAGAGCACAGTAATGGACACTAGGAGGGGAATTTATCAAAACTGGAGCAAACAAAATGTGGAGCAGATTGGCACTGCAACCAATCAGCTTCTATGTCTCGTTTTCAAATCCTAACTGAGCAAACTGAAGAGAGAAGCTGATTGGTTGCCATGGGAAACTGCTCCAAATTCGGTCTGCTCCAGCTTTGATAAATTCCCCCCTTGGTGCGTAGTGCAATAGCATGCTTAGATTGCACAGTATTGTGCAATTAGCTTAGCTGTGAACTGGCCCATAGTCTTCTAGGCTCGCTGGCCCACAAATTACAAATTGTGCTGAAAAAATAAGGAAAACGCGGTCCGGGTTGCAATTTTTATTTTTTATTACAATGCCCTGATATGTTTATAGTTTCACAGAGAGCCGATGATTTCCATCAATAAGAAGTTCTGTAGAAAAAATGTAATACTAAAACTCTAGCTGTTTTTTATCATTTACTTTACTGGGTCATCGTATCCCTTGAGGGTGTCAACACCACCACTCTGAGGGGAACATGTGACGGTCAACTGAACAAAAACGTATTTACAAAGCTAGTCAGTCACATTCAACCGGACTGTAATACTGAAGACGTTTCATCTCCCATCCAAGTGGCTTTCTCAGTGCTAAGGGAGTCACTTCAATAAGTGGTGAAACATCTTCAACAAACATTTTCGGCTTTGCCAGAATTTGAGATACACTCTGGACATTTTATAGAATTGTCTCCTTTATTTGGTGAAATGCATTGGAGTCGATGGGGAAGGCAAAATAAGATGTTGGTTATTTAAAGCTGCACTTTACATGGTTTTTGAGAGTTGTTTTTTTTTGTGTGTGGTTTTTTTTTTTCCATCAATATTTTATTTGACCTTTTCTAAATAAAGAAAAAAAATCTGAAAAAATGTAAAAAAAAAAAAGTGAAAGTCTACAAGTGTTTTTTCTTTTATTTTTTGGGGTATATCTATCTATCTATCTATCTATCTATCTATCTATCTATCTATCTATCTATCTATCTATCTATCTATCTATCTGTCTATCTATCTATCTATCTGTCTATCTATCTATCTATATAGATATAGATATAGATATAGATATAGATATAGATAGATAGATAGACACATATATTTTACAGTAAGAAAAAAGGGGGAAAAAATCTTAACTGTACAAAAATATTTTTGTTTCTCTGCAACAACAACAAATCAAATGGCAATAAAATTTACAAATAAGAAAAAGAAAAAAAGTAAATTTTGCTTTAATAGATACACACATGAATACTGCTCTGCAATCATTAATACATAATTTTAAATGCAAACAGCGTAAATACCAGGATTTGACCTGGTATCAGCCTCTTGCAGTCCCTGTACAGCAGGGCTGGATTGCGAGAGGAAAAAATATTGTAAAGCGCTGTATAAACTGTTGGCACTATATAAATTCTGAATAATAATTAGGGATGCACCGATACCTGTATCGGTATAGGTGCCGATACTGGACATTTTCACGAGTACTTGTACTCAACCGCACCCTCGGTCTTGGAAAAATGGTGTTGGTGCATCCCTAATAATAATAATAATAATATTATAACCGCTCAGTGTCTGCAAACCCCCCTCTGTCGATCCCTGCACTGGCTTCCATCCCGCACCCCCTCTGTTGCGATCCCTCCACTGGCTTCCAATAACCCAAAGAATAAAATCCAAACTCCTCCCATGCTCGCCGCCAGGACTTCACTAGAGCCTCTCCCATCCTCTTGAACTCTTTACCCCAACCTGTAAGTCTATCTCCCTCTCTGACCTCCCTTTTAAGATCCCTTAAAACTCATCTCTTCAGGGAAGCCTATCCCACCTCAACCTAATCACTCAACTAGGGCTGCAACAACTAATCGACATAATCGATTATAATCGATTATTGAAAAAGTTGTCAACTTTTTCAATAATCGATTAATCGGCTTCCGATCAGTTGGCCCTGTTCACGGCTCCACACACGCTGCGCGCCCCACCTCCTCCCTAACTCACGCTCAACGCTGCCAGACCCGCATCCACGCTTTACACGCCGCACCTCCTTCCTGCCTTACACTCACCGCCCGCCCACATTTTCCATCGGCACAGGGACGCGGGGAGATGTAGTAAGGAGGAGCAGGTGTGGGGGGATGACAGCGGCAGATTGACAGGCCCGATCTCAGAAGCAAGTTGCTGGAAGACTGCTCAGGTATAAGCCTGCACTTTCCCACACGTGGTGCTCTATAATGTATTGCTGGGATTTTTATTACTCTATAGCTGATGGTACATTGTGCTGTATATTATACATGGGAATACAAATCCCAGCAATACATTATACACTGTATGTATAATGTACTATTGCTGGGATTTGTTGTACTCTATAGTTGGTGATATTCTGCACTGCGCTGTATAGAGGACTACAAATCCCAGCAATAATACATTATACAGCGCCATGTGGAATTCCACCAGCTATAGAGGAGCACTACAAATCCCAGCAATAATACATTATACAGTGGTGCACTGCCGAATACCACTGGCTATAGAGGACTACAAAACCCAGCAACAGTACATTATACAGCGCAATGCAGAATACCACCAGCTATAATGTACTATTGCTGGGATTTGTTGTGCTCCTCTATAGCTGGTGATATTCTGCATTGCGCTGTATATTGTACTATTGCTGGGATTAGTAGTCCTCTATAGCTGGTGCAATTCTGCATTGATTGCTGTATAATTTTACACTTTCCATTTCACTATATTGCACACCACACTTTTTTTTTCTTTTTTACTTCCACCGCTCCAAGCTTGCTCCTTTCAATACAAACTAGTAGTCCATCACTGGAGCCATTTTTAAAAATGTATTTGATTGTTTATCCGATTAACCGATTAATCGAACTTAATAATCGGCTAACTAATCGATTTTTGAAAATAATCGTTAGCTGCAGCTCTACACTCAACCATCACGTTCTCAAACAATCATCCCTACACAGCTCCCTCCTCATGTATCTCTTCCCCCTCCGATTTAGATTGTAAGCCCCCAGGGGCAGGGCCCTCCTTACCATCTTGTCTTGATTTGTATTGTGACTGTAATGTCTTCCTTATATTGTAAAGCGCTGCGCAAACTGTTGGCGCTATATAAATCTGTATAATAATAATTTTTATTATTGTTATAATAATATTAATAATACAAATGTTTTATTATGATTTTTATTATTATTACTATTATTGATAATAATAATAATAATAATAATTTGCAGCAAAATTAGCTTTCCCACAATTACTTTGCTCATCTCTTCAGCATTACAGACCAAGTCCAGTAGATTGTGTCTCAATACTACTAGCTACATGACCAAATAAATAAAAAAAAAAACGTCTGCAGACATGTATTTTATGCACTTTCTTTTTTTTTTACTTTGAACTCTTTTTGCAGACAGTTGATGAAAAGCGAGCTGGGCTCATTTATCACAGACTATTTTCAGGTAAGCAATGCAGCATCTGAGAGAAACTAACATTTCCAGTGGAGGCCTGCTGGGTTTTCACCTAGTAATTTCACAGGACAAGCCGCAGCCGCCATCCTTCAGCCTACGGTTTCTCGATTATGAATCAGACGGCGTTAACTGTTCCAGGCCTCTCATTTGTGGTCGCCGCTTTCTGCATCTGGGTTTTGTTTTTACTGTTCGTGTCTGTTCCAAGGCTGCATTCTGTCCCTTGTGCGTTTCATAACTTGTATAGCACGCTGTAAATAGTGATGCTCGGTCAGCGGTTTGCTCTTTTTGTTGTTTTGGAAGCATTTTTTTTTTTTTTATACTTTTTTTTTTTTTGTTTGTGGTGTCTGTTATCAGTATAATAAGAAGCTGTTACAGGTTGTTACAAGTCTGGATACATTTGTCTTTTAAATTAATTCTCCATTTAAAATAGAATTTTTTTATTCTAATAGTTTTTATTGTAGTGATATTGGGCATCACCTGCCCTGTACAATCTCTTTTATTAGATCGCTATCAGTGGCAATGATTAAGAATTGGGGATTTGCAGGTTTTTATTTTCTTGCATATAATATTTGCATGCTGATGTCTTTGACCTGCGGAGAATTGCCCAGTCTAATAATCTTCTCTGCAAATTGAATAGATTTGCATGTAGATATTCAGACAAAGCCAAAAATAAGCATTCAAGCAAATCAATATGCTTATGCCTGACTGTCAGTGTATCTTCCGAGCCATGTAGTCTGAAAAGTGAGACCACTTTTTCTCTGACCCTGAAATAATTTTTCTAGGAGTCGCAGCTGTGTATTAGGGCTTACTGACACTTGTGCATTGTGGCAATGCAATGCATGTGTTACCACAATGCATGTGCAGTGCCATTCCCTGTGAATGCCCCCCCCCCCAAACTTAGTGTACAGTAGAGCACAAAACACTGCAGTGCATCATAATGCATACACATGTATTGCACATGTATTGTAGTGTGATTAATATTTTTAAAAAGGGTCACGTGTTTTTGTTTTATCCATTCTGGTGTATTGGCAGCAGGGATGTAATCATAATATAATAAGACTAAGAATAAGTCTGAGGCGGGTGCTTGATGCAGGCGCAGAGTATCCATCATATATGCTCGCCTAGCACTCCACCGAGGATCAAAACACTTTTCCGGCAGGGAAAATAGTGAAGGCCAATGCAATGTGTCACAGACTGAAGTGGTGCTCAGCTCGGCTACAGCAATAGTTTGTAGTCCACAAGCTCAGTACACGTGGTTGGACCCGGTGGTTGGAGCCGCTTAGCAGGCACCATATTAGAAATTCCTGCCAAGCATTCCTCTTTTTAAGCCTGTGTAGACATGAAATGTACTCTATATACCGTACTTGTCATTTTCTGAATGACAAACTGTTTATTGTGTCTCCAGAACCAGCTGCTCTCAAAGGGTCTGGCCTTGATGGAGGAGAAAGTCAAGCTGTATGAAGGTGAGATGTAACAAAAGCACTCTGAGCTCTGTGTGATAGGAAAGTGAAAATATATCAGGAATGTACAATATGCTATAACTATATATAAAGCTTTAAATACACTGCCGCTCCAAAATAAAGTCACCACCTGGATTTCACTAAGCAAATAGGTCAGTCTTCCATTTGGATAATTAGTCTAGCTGCTACTTGAATGTAAGGGGGAATTTAAAAACGTCCTTTTAGCTCCACCCACTCGGTGTGCACCAGCAGGAAACTGTCAAAATTGTAAACAGCCACCAATGTTTGTTTACATACAAGCATTCAGGAGGCTATAGAGCCGCCAGATCACTTGTATATTGTGTCGGTCCTGAAGTCCGCTGTACGTGGTGCGGGCCCGGAGGGGGTCCCTATGTGACAGGGGTCTAAAAGACCCCTGATGTCTCCATATAGAGGACCCGTCACATCCTCTTTGCTATCACATATCACATTTGCTTCTTAGCCCCCTATATGTTAACAATAAAGTTAAGTAAAAAAAGAAAAGTTTACAAAAATTAAAGCTCCAAAAAAAAGAAAAAAAAGTCACAACAAAAATTTTAAAGTCCCCCACCCACACATACACACACAAACAAAAATGCGTCTGGTGTGCCTGCGTGCGAAAACTATGATTGTGCCGCACATGTTTCATATCACCGTGAACGTCGGAGTGAGAGCAATAATTTTAGGGCCACCAATCACTGATAACACTAAACTGATGTGCAATAAAAGCTTTTAAAGTATCGCCTTCTGCCAATTTTGGGTATGCTAGTTTTTTGCAATTTCGTGGGCACGTGAACTTTAAGGCTTGACATGTTTGGTGTCTATTTAACCAAAGTGATCCCATATTTTATATTTTACCAAAAAATTGCAATAATAAATGTTTTTCGTTTTTGTAGGAAAATGTATGTATGTTTTATCAAAATTTCCTTTTAATAGAGTAAAAAATAAAAACTGCAGTGTTGATTAAATGCCACCAAAAGAAAGCTCTATCTGTCCCCAAAAAATGGTATAAAATGTATTTCAGTACAGCGTTGTGTGGCGGAATAAATGTCAACGTACCTCAGCGATGAATACTGGCCTGGGCAGGAAGGGGGTTTAACACCGCGCTCTTCAAGTGGTTAAATAGTAACTTTGAAGTCCTGTACAGTTAGAGGTCATTTAATCTAAACTACATCTCTTCTATATATTCCTGTTTAGGGGAAAACCGTGTCATGATTTTAGCAGAATTATGGGACCACTTCTTCATGGAAATCCTGCCAACACTGCAAGCGATATTTTATCCTGTTCAGGTATTGTTCAATCCTATGTGTAGGTGAAATGTAAAACCCTATATACAGAAAAGAGAGGAATGGAACCTTCCATAAATATACATTACAAAATTATTTATCAATTCCATTAATTATACAATTACTTCATAAATTTAATGATGTGACGAGTCATCGTCACATCACACAAACGTATACTGTTAGTATTAAAATAAGACAACATTGTCTATAGCACATGAAACCCCCAAACCTCCCAATGCAGATATATCAGCCAGCAGTTGGCTGCTTTTCCCAACCAGCCCTATATATAGTCTATGTACTATGGGCGACCATCAAGGTCTCATTTTAACATAGCTATAGCAGCAGTATGATCTATGGAATGTAAGAATAGACATGCTATCGCAGGGTTCCGAGGGCTCAGGTGCTTTGCAGTAATTAGCTTTTTGGCTGAATAGAGTCATTTACTGGATTGTTACAATTGTACAGCTGGCTTCATACTACAAGGATCTAGTACTACAGCAATTTTCCATTGTGAAAAGCACTACACTCATATGGAAGCGGATTCTACGTATCTATTTGTTTCTTGTTGAACAGAGCACTTGTTTGATTGTTACATTTGTATCAACTGGCTCCAGGCTACAAGGACATAGAGCTATGGCCTCATTGCATTGGAAGTCAGCACAGAAAGGTTTACTAGGACGGTACTATAGCCCATATGTTGGACAGGCTGTGGAGACAAAGGCACACTAGTACATGTTGGGGGCATGTCCCAGCGTGACAGATTTGTGGATGAAAACCTTCCTTTTTAGCTCCTCGAAGGTAGGGTATGATGTTCCTAGATGTTGATGACCTGTAACTTAGAGCAGGTAAGGGCAACTCCAGCCCTTCAGCTGTTGTGGAACAGCTAACCATGCTGGAACGCACTAGAAGTGGTGTGAACATGCCCTGAATGCTGCTCTATACTCCTGCTGTCTGCCACATCTGCCCCTGCCTGCTGCTATCTGCCACATCTGCCCCTGCCTACTGTGTGCCACATCTGCCCCTGCCTGCTGTTATCTGCCACATCTGCCCCTGCCTGCTGTTATCTGCCACATCTGCCCCTGCCTGCTGTTATCTGTCACCCCCGCCCCCCCCCAACTATCTAATGTCTCCTCGAAATGATTGTAATGATATCACAGCACTGACTTTTTTTCCTTCTTCTTTACTGTATTCTTCTACAATTTGCAATAAAAAATGTATTGGTTTATATTTCTAAATGCACATAGCGCTATGGCGGTTGTCTCTTGTGGGGAGAACTGACCTATCTCCCCCTTGTTTCAATTACTGCAAAGCACCTGAGCCCACCGGACCCTGTGATAGTACATCTATTCCTGCATTCCATGGAATATACTGCTGCTATGGCTGTGTTATGATGAGATCTTGATGCCTATAGTGGCCCATAGTACAGGAACTATATATATGGCTGGTGGGAATAAGCCAATTACCAGCTGATTTATGTGCATTGGGAGGTTTGAGGTGTATTGTGCTATAGACAATAGGCATGTCCCGATACCGATGCTAGCATCGGAATCGGGCCCGATACAGGGCATTTTGACAAGTACTTGTACTTGTCAAAATGCCCCGCTGCCTAGCGCCGAAGCTTGCGCTGTTTTTTTATTTTTTTTTTACCGTCCGTGGGGTCCTTTTTACCGTCCTCTGGGCAGGCTGGAGGAGCGTCGCGTCACTGCTGTGGGCTGCGCTCCAGGTGGGGTCCTAATGTGGTTGGCCAGCGATTGCCCAGAGGACTCCGCCTGTAGCTCCGCCCACAACAGTGACGCGATGCTTAGCTGCTCAGCGCCGCCTACGTCCGTGGTTCCTTTTTACCGTCCTCTGGGCAGGCTGGAGGAGCGTCGCGTCACTGCTGTGGGCTGCGCTCCAGGTGGGGTCCTAATGTGGTTGGCCAGCGACTGCCCAGATGACTCTGCCTGTAGCTCCGCCCACAACAGTGACACGACGCTAAGCGCCGCCGACGTCCTCGAAAAGGAAAAAGAAAGCATTCGGCACCTCGTGAGGCATCTTGTGAGGCACCTCCATTGAACAGCAAGAGTGAGTAAGAGCCTGTGCTGGGATGGCAAAGAAGACAGTCAGTAGTTGCTCATGATAAGGGGTCCTCACTGTCCCTATGTGTATGCACCATGGGTATCAGTACCGTCAAGCACCCAGGGCACATGCCCACATCCCTGGGTGCTCAGGCTGCTTCCACCCACTGTTGATCTGTAGAAGTGGGTACAGAGGAGAGCTGGAGTGAGGGGGGGGGCAGAAGTGCTGAGATGTGGACGGGGATTTAGAGATGAGCTGTGGCTGGGTGGTGAAGAGGGGAGGTGTGAAAGGTAAGCTGTGGCGAGGGGGAGCAGAGTTTAGCTGTGGACAGGGGGTATAGTGGTAAGCTGTGAATGAGGGGGCAAAGGTGAGCTCTGAATGAGGGTTACAGAGTTTAGCTGTGGACATGGAGTTCAGAGGTGAGTCAGATGGTTTTTTTTAAAATGTCACCTGTCCCTTTAAGAAAAAGTATCGGTAATTGGTATCGGCAAGTACATGAGGGCCAGTACTTGTAGTTGGTCTTAAAAAAGTGGCATTGGGACATCCCTAATAGACAACATTGTGTTATTTGAATGCTGACAGTATAGGTTTGTGTAATGGAATCATGACTTTTGTCTATTAGTTTATATGGAATTTATAAAGGATTATGTATTGTATATTTATCCGAGGTTCCATATACCATTTCTCTCTTTCCTGTATATAATGTATTTATAATTTATGGAACCAGAAGCAACATGGAGCAGGGAATATAGACATAAAAATTGGCCATGTGTCTACTGGTTTTATCACTTCTCAGGGGATTGATAATGCTCAACATCCTGTTAGCCTTGCCCCAATACAGTGCAGTCCTATCACAGGAGGTGGGGCTGTGGGAAGAATATTTACAGAGTTATTCACAAAAGGGTGAAGGGTTTGGAGAAAGCAGGAGAAGGGAACAATCTAGGACAACATAGCTGATTTGGACAAATTCTCCAATTCAGCTCACTTTCCAGTTCAGCTATGTTGTCCTAGATTTTTAACTTCTCCGGCTTCTCCAAACTCTTCACCCTTTTGTAAGCAACCCTGTAAATCTAATTAGAGGACCGAGTCACATGCAGCCTGTTCATTCTTTCCCTTTTAGACCATTTCACTAAAATGCAGTAAATGAAGATGATATGTCAAATGCATTCTAGGCATTATACTACCGTAAGGATATATTTATGCACGCATTTTTGTGCAGGGAGTTGAAAAGTATCCAGCGTGCTGCATGATTGGTGTGGTTTTCATCAAATCCCATTTTCCATATAGATGTATGGTGAGGCATGTAAGATATGTCTAAAACACTCCTCACTACAGTCATGTGTGATACAATATCACAAGTTGTAATTGTGTATACAACAATTACATTGTGTATGCAACAATTACTTTTGCTAGTAATTAATATTTCAATTTTTGTTTCCTCCTTTTTAAACTTTAAATGCTGCATCGTCTCCATTTTATATTTTGGGCTTCATCTACCAACATCAACAGGTTTTGAATTCTTAGTAGGGATGCACCGATATATCGACCGCCGAAACATATCGGCCGAAAATGGCACTTTTGCCAAAATGCAGAAAGTGCCATTTTCTGGACGATATAGCTGTGCATCCGCTCTTTCTCTGAAACAGTCACAGGCAGCTGAGCGCTGCGGGAGGAGAGCGCTGTGAGCGGCCGGCGTCTCTCCTCCCACACCACTCACTCAGCCTCCTGTGACAGTTGTCAGGATGGAGAGCGGGTACAAGCAGACAGTGATCAGTGATCGCTGAGTGTCTGTACATAATTGAGGAAAGAGTATGGTTACTATATCCTCAATTATGAATGAATGGGAAGTGATCTACATCATCTCCTGCTCATTCATGATTGTGGTTATAGTAAACATACAATGTTCTCATGTTATGAATGAACAGGAACACTCAGTATTCCTATTCATTTATAAGGGGCTGCAGAAATAGAGATTGTGTCCCAATATGTCCCAACCCGAAATATTTCCCCGAAGCCCCTAAAAGTAAAGTAAAAAATAAAAATAAATACATAAATAAAATATAAAACATGTAAAAAGTTTATAAAAAATAAAAATAAAATATTTGAAAAAGTTAGAATAAAAAACATTTTCGGTTTTCCATTCCGGTTTTGTTTCGGTTTTGAAATTATCATTTCGGTGCACCTCTAATTCTTAGTACTATAAACCCCTTGATAACCTCCAAGCAGAAATAAAATACAAAAATGAATGCAGCTCTGTGATCATTAATACATCATTAAATGCATTTTTAATGCAAGCAGTGTATGTACCTGAATATGACCTGATATCAGCCTCTTGCAGTCCTTGTACTGCAGAGCTCAGTCTGTCAGAGGGAAAAGCAGCACAAAGGGGACAAGTTTTGGACTGAAGCCAGCTTTCTAGCTATGGTTAATGAGTCTACGGGAGTTAAGATCACATATTAACTGAGAGCGGGGGACACGTCGCCCTCATTAAGGTCTATCTGTATGGAGATTGAAGTTATTAATTAACATTACATCAAATTTTATTTTTTAGGGTTTCACTAAATTGCTGTATTAATTCTTTGATGTATTAATGATTAGCAGCTGCAGGGAACACCGTTTATTCTAGGGGACCAGAATTCTAAATAGAATAGAGATTGGAGACATTTTTAAATGAAAGCCCAAGCAGGATCCATGCTTATCAGCATGTAACATGTAGAACTTGTGAATTGCTTATTTCCTCCAGCAAAAATGGTAGAGTCAAAAAGTCAGCTCAGTTTATTTTTAATCACCTAATCCGATGCAGCTAATCAAGATTTTCACTATGTTTCTACGGTTTATATATGCTGTTATGCATTATTGTGTAGTATGCAACCTCCCCCTCATGCTCCAGTGTTTGTATCAAGGCTGCATTGAGCTCAGCAGGAGTGCAGTATTGTGGTGAAATGTTTTATTTAAAGGGAAATGCAAATCTTGGCTGTTTGAGGTACACAGGAATTTTTCCTGAGTGCCAGTTGGTGCAGGAGGCTCTTGGGGGCCAGAACCGGTGTTCAATCGAATGTTCCAACTTGTCGCCCTCTTTAACTGGTGACATCACATCCGGTGACTGCCAGTAGAAGATTCACAGCAGATGGTGCTAGTGCGCATGCCTAGGAAATCCTTGTTGAACTGTCTATCCACTTCTATCACCTATTACAGTTATTTGTCCTAGGTTATAGAAGCCGATAGACACGCAGGCGCAGTGGCTATTGCCTCATCGGATTCTATAACCTAGTCAAAGGTTCTATTATGTTACAGCGCCTGCGCGGCCACATGATTCTTTCTAAAACCACAGTTGCCACTGTGGCTGCGCGGCTATCAGCTTCTATAACCTAGGACAAGTATACGTTTGTACTAGGTTATGAAATCCAATGAGTCGCTAGCCGCACAGTGGCAATAGTTTATACAATTCAACAAGGATTTTCTGCCCATGTGCACTAGCTCCATCTGCTGTACATCTCCTACTGGCAGTCACCGGATGTGACGTACCCTGTCGGAGAGCTCGACAAGTCGGAGCTTTCGATAGAAAACCGGACCTATGAGTTTGGCTATCAACACAAGGTATTTTTCTCCTGCGTTGGTAATGCCGGCTTCATCAGACATAGGAGTCAATACTGATAGCAGGGCAGGGTGTGGAGCATCAGGAAAAAACAGTTTAATCCGAAAACTGTATTGAGAACACGGGGACACAACAGGAGGTTGGAAGAATGGGGGTCCAATCTTAGAATTCGTAGGGGGGGTTTTACTGTGAGAGTTGTGACGTTGTGGAATTCCCTATCACAGATGGTGGTATCTGCTGATAGCATTGATAAATTCAAGGATTTTTTTGATGACTTTCTTATTTGACTTCATATACAAAAATATGGGAAGTGTTAGAGCCATAGACACACAGACACACAACCCCTTACACACATACGTTGAACTGGATGGACCCTTGTCTTTATTCAACCTTACCTACTATGCTACTATATATGAGGAGACTGGCCATTGGGCACCACCATCGTTCACCTCCAAAGAGGTTTAGTGAGCCATCGGGGGACAAGTTTGTGTGTTCTGGTCTCCTGGTATATGGCTGGCTTTGATTAGAATGGGAAGACCCACGCAGGAGTCATATACTGTGCCATAGCCCCCTATAACAAGTTGTTCTTCTCATCCAATGAGGATGAAGAAACTTAAAGGGGTTTACATGGGGGGGAGGGGGGGGGGGAATTTTTTTTGGCTTTAATGTCACTTTAAAGTTGACTCTACCAGGGGAGAATATTGTGAAGGTGAGTGCTCCTGCCCATTCCACCAAAGTTGGAATTGACCTGTGATTGTGTATATTGTACACAGCCATCTTCAGTGAGTTCCATGCCAGCTGCAGGAGTTCAATAAACTGCGTTTTCTTTGGAGGTCCGGGCTTTTTCTCTGCAACATTTGACATCTGTATAACTGGTGCCTGTTTAAATGTTGCTGCCTTGGGGTTCTGAACTTTAAAATGCCCAAAAAGAATTTGGCTACCAAAGCCAAGGCCAAGGTCTAGAGTTATAGAGTTCTGTTTATGCACCCAGCCTAACCTGTGATATCATCTAGTGCCTGGAACCAGGGAACACTTGGACCAAAAGACCCAATAGGAGCCTACTGAATCCAACTTTAAAGGATCATAGGTAAATTGAATGAGCCCACTGACTCAAAAACATTGCATCTGTCACTAAGGTTCCTAATAAAGGAAAACTGTGGTGGGATAATATATAGGTTGCCATTGTGGAGCTCTTCTTAACAAATGGCAGTTGCCAGGACATCATGCTGATTCAATAGCTTTAGTACTTATTATGCAGATCAGGTGTTCTGACTATATGCCTATTCCAGATCAGAAACTCAGGGACAGCCAGGAAAATCATATACTAAGAAGTTGTCAACCAATGTATTTCTCTGAGTACAGCTTTCCTTTAAATCATTTGACTGCAACAAAACGTAATCTGATAGGTTTATGCACTTTGCACATCACCATAAGTTCTCCGTGGCAATAACTCTTGTGACCTCTTGTTTCTTTTTGCAATAAGTATGTTTGCAATTGTCTTCTAGGGCCAGGAGCTCACTATCCGTCAAATCGCCCTGCTCGGCTTCAGGGACTTGGTCTTATTAAAGGTGAATCTGGACAAAACGCTACCCTTGATGCAGTCCAGGCCCCCGCCACCCATTCTGCAGATGCTGTTGGTCCTTCAGGTAGGAGAGATGGATGGTGATGGGGCTTAATAATATGATGGCATG